GGGGGGTGGGGGGGTGGCCGGCTTTGAGGCGTGTGTGCAAGGGGGAGTAGGGGGGGTTTTTAAAGGGATCTGAACGCCCTGAGGCTGGATGCCTCGGCGAATATTCCCTGAACCCTAAACCCCATATAACCTTACATAGATCCCCTATATAAGCGATGTTTTATTTGTACATGCGTTCCTGGCAACCCAGGTTTGGTCTGCAGGGAGGCCGTAGCTCGAAACTTTAGCGCGCCCGGGCGACCAGCTCTTCAGTCGAAGGTGCCCTGCCGGTCTACTTAAAGGGGTTTCAGAGGTTATGTAGGGATAGGCAAACGGTAAACAAATCCTTTAAAAAGGCATTTAGCGGTCCTTTTAAAGTGGATATATGGGGATATTGATGGGTCCGTTAAAGGAAGTATAGTGGGATATATCGGGGTCCCAGTAAAGGGGTTGTAGGGGGATATGTAGGGGGATATGTAGGAGTCCCTTTAAAGGGGTTATAAGGAGATATTTAGGGGGTCCCTTCAAGGGGATATTGAGGGGTCCCGTTGAGGGGTTATAAGCGCATATTTAGGGGTCCCTTTAACGGGGAATATTTAGGGCTCCCTTTAAAGGGTTATAAGGGAATATTTAGGAACCCCTTTAAGGGGGTTAGAAGGGGTTTTTAGGGGTCCGTTTAAAGGGGTTATAAGGGGGATACATTGCGGTCCCTTTAAAAGGGTTATAAACTGATATTTAGGGTCCCTTGAAGGGGGTTATAAGAGGATATCTGGGGTCCGTTTCCAAACATACCCCTCAATTTTTTTCCCCCCTGTAGCATAAAATCCTTCATAATCGAGGACTACGCTCACAAAGCCTATGGCTGCCTAGTCTGCCTGTGTGCCTGGCCGTCTGGAGCGCCATCATCGGCCCTGCAATTCCAGACGGAGCTAGAGAAGCTGCAAACAAGGCAACGGCGGCGAAAGAGACGCGCTGCTATTCGCAAGCAAGCGCAAGCCTGAAACTGCAGTAGCGCCAGCTCTAGCAGCAGCTCTGACAGGTCCAGCTGAAAGAAAAGTTTGGATTGTACCTGTGGTGGGTGTCAGGGCATTGCGCCATCATCATGCCCTGGGTTGGGTCCAAAGTAGGCGCTGGGGAGCCTTGCGGAATACTAGGGAGGACTACAGAGTATGGGACTTTATAAGTTACTTACCCCCCTTGTACTGTTTTGCCTCAAGGGTTCAAGATTCCTATGGGATTCTTGAGCATTTCCTGCACGGTCCGGGATCATCTTAGTCTGTTGTTTCAACTCCAACGGCTTGCATTGCCTCGGTACCTCGACCTTCTTGGAGGTCGCGACAGACGTGAAGACCTTGAGGCCCTCATGGGTCTTACATTCAAGCGAGATCCCCCTAAATTCAGAAAAAGCAGACCATGGCATCTATGAGTATTTTTAAGCAATCAGCGAGATCAGAGGCCGAATAAGGAAATAGCGCTCCTTTCCCAAACAAAAACTTTTGTCCGCCGCTCATATGACCCTAATATAGCCCAGAAAGCTCTGAGGAGGCAAACCGTGAACCCCAACCCACTAAACCCTACCTGGACCCAAAGGTATGTAAAATCATGGCCTTTATGGCTATTATTATGGGTTTAGGGCTATTATTTTACAAACTTTTGGGGTTTAAGTAGACCCTAAAACCCTAAACCCTAACCCCCTAAACCCTAAAGTGTTCTTTTCTGGGAGGCTACGGGGTTTTGAGCTTTTGAAGCCCGGAAGGCCACTGGGAGGTCACCAAGCCCTGAAAGAGTGGGACCCCATAGAAATGACCTTGGAACAGAAGGGTTTAGGGCTTAGGTTTAGGGTTTAGGAAGGTTTAGGGAGTTTTAGGGTTTAGAGTTTAGGATAATCCTTCATCAGCATGATGTTGGCGCTCCCCCTCCCATAGCTGCCATCAAGCGGCCTTAAGCGCCCCACCATGGTATGTGGGCGTCATAAGCCTTGGGTTTAGGATTCAGGGTCTAGAGTCTAGGGTTTTTTGGGATGCAGGGTTGTAAGGTTTAGGGTTCCAGGGTTAGGAATGTGCGAGCCCAGATGCAAAGTGTTAAAGAAAAAGTTTCTTTATTGGGACTAACAGGGGGTACTTAGCCCCCAGTATGGAGTAGGATTATATCGTGATTTTTTGTCTCGTGTTATGGAACCAAAAAAATACAGCAAGGGACACTGTACAGGGCTGTAGGATCCGCAGGGTGTAGGGCTTACGGTTCAGGGAAACAGCCGGCCATCGTAACAACAGGATGCCTTTGCCCAGGGTTTAGTGCTGTGGATAGCGCGGGGAGACCACGTGCAGGACGTCTTCATGACCTTCGGCTGTTCGGAGGCAGCTTGATCGCCTTCAAATGAGTAGTACTTTATTTAATGGGGATATTATGGTACCCAATATAGAGTAAGACTATATCCTCATTTTGGGGTATAGTATCTTATATAAGGAATATTATCTTACTAGGTTCAACCACGGAAAAAAACCAAATGGTGTATCAGGGGTCAGGGAATGTAGTCGTGAAAGGTTGATCTTGAACAAGGCTGTGACAGGAATATGGTAGGTTGCCTACCTCCAGAGACCGTGGTGTGGCAAAAGACTGCCTGGGCACATGGGGCATGCCCTTAAGTTTGTTTTCAAGCTGCGACTGCTTCAAGCCTACGAAAAGATGACCAGGCAGCCTCTTTTGTAGGGGCCTAGATTATTGGCTAGCAGGGCTTGAAGGGTACATTCTACTGTAGGTTTAGAAGGGTTGTCAGGTCCGGGTAAGTTGCATTCTACATTGCCTGCCTGGACCAGGCCCTATGTGATGTACGTGTTTGTTTTGGATGATCAAGCTTTGTAAATATGCACAGGGAGCTTGCAGACAAACAACATCAAGAGGGCATATTACATCATAGTCCCCCTTAAGTAGATAGAGCATGGCTTTGGGTATAGTGAGGAAAAAAGATCCCGGTGACTATAGATTAAGAAGCTCCTGCGGATGGTATCCGGAAACATGTGGGTACTTCCCGAAATTAGGGCCCCGTTTTGGTGACCCTAAATAATAGGTGCCGTCATAAAATCTATAACCAGAAGCGGCCCATAATTTTGACAACAACCCATGTGAGCAGCCTGATTTATTTGCGGTAAGACTGCTCAAGGCTAGCCCCGTCGGTATATTTCTTTCCTCTAAAGCCAACTCTCATTGGGGAACTGGATGGAGACGATGGATTGAACGAGATAGGTCGCGTTATTGGCATGATTTATATGAGCTGGCATGTTCGAAGATGGCGCGCAAGATCATAACATTTAAGCCGGCAAGATGCGTGGTCAAAGAACGGCAGAACGAGATGGTGGACCAAGGGTTCAAAGGAAAGCCAGTCAGCCAAATTGTGTCACGCACTTGTAATTTTTCATCATCGTTTCAGGAGACTCTCACAGGGGTAATCCAGCAGTCCTAGATTATCCTAAAACAATGGGTGACGACTGAGGATTGTAGATGTTCTTTATCATGGCTGTGTGAGGCTTGGTTTCAGGTGCGTCCGTTTTCATGAGGTCAGTTTGGAGTGCCAAGCCACGCAAACAGGAGTCAATCCACAACAGGGCAGGGGTCATCACAGGATCCTAATTTCGAGGGTTGAACAGCCTTTGCAACCCTAGCCCCGTGCCCTAGGTGTGTAAGCCCTCAACCTTCAACCCTAAACTCCCACATGTTTATATGCATTATCATGTGCATGCCTTTCCTCAACAAGTCAAACAGCTCAGAGTCAGTGATCGTCATAGGGACCAAAGTAGGTGTTTTTTCCTTTTTTCCTTGGAGCCCTTCCCTCTCTAAATAGCATACACACACACACACACTTGAAAGGTTTTCAACCCAACTAAGTTGAGTTGAAGGACTCGCAGTCCCATCTGCTTCAAGGCAGTTGTCAACGGGGGTTCGTTGGAGGTCTTGGCCTGTTATGAACTTAGATGACTTATTTGGGCTTTCTCATCATGATGAATCAAGGCCAAGCTGCTGGACATGCCACAAAAATACATATTTGACATGTCTGCGCACTCACTGGCTTCTGAATAATGTAGGTATCAAGTGCACTAATGAGGATTCCAGGAACCAATGCACAGCGATGATCCTTAGTGCAAATAGTTGACATAGAATAACGCAGGTACACAGATCGGCGTCCCAATCTGCATCACGGAGTATCCACAGCTGTCTTCGTTGGCAGCAGAACTGTGGACTCCCTGCTGCCCCCTGCAATCCTGGAAATCATCAGCAAAAATCTTATTTCCTTGGAATTTCGGAGGTCCCACACACACACACACACGGTAAACAGGCGCTGTCCCACTGTATCGCTGCCTTGGCTGCACCTGGCAGTGCTTCGGACGCAAGAATCCAAAACCCTCGTAGCTACGGTCTATGGTTTTGGGGCTTCAGGCAGCATGTTCAGCCCGGTTGCAAAAGGGGCTTCAGGTTTGTAGGTTGCGAAGTTTTTTTGTGTGTTAAGGCTTTAGGGCTGTGAATGGGCTTACAGGGATTTGGAGAACTAAGGTTTGGGGAGATTGAAGAATAACTTCTGTATGCAAAGATACAGTGAGAGTTTTGCAGCGTTCCTTATCCTGCTCTTTCAGGCGGGAGGCAAGCAAACAACCCCGATGATCGAGGCATCATCTTGTCGGATACTCGAAAATCTGGCCGTAGTAAGTGTATTTATTCACTGCTGGTAAACGGGGAATTGATCCGTATCAAAGCAAAGCGCTAATCGCTGAAACAGGACTTATATTCACTCCCAAGCTTCTCCCTCAACGGCCAGCAAGTGTAGTATGCATTTGTGAACTCACATTTACTTTTTCCTATGCAGAATGAACTCCACCTAGCCCAAAACTCTAACTCTGGCAAAACCCGAGCTACGAGGCGGGATTGTAGAATAACTCCAAACCGTAAACCCTAAGAATAACCATGGTATAAGGCCTGAGTCAAGCTTCGACATTCTTGAAGGCATGGACTGGAGCCCACAAATCGATAACAAGAAACATTGATGACCAGCCAGGACTCCGCACAACTATAAGGCGAAGCAACGAAACGACGAGCCCAATTCGGTATGAAGAAATGTGATGTTTCTTGCAACCCCATGTGACCCATGTGTGTGTGTGTGTCTCGAAACACGGGGCGGCTAGAGGATGTGCCTCCCCGTTAGGTATCATGCTTAGATCATGTTGAGAAGAAAACACATGATTCGGGGGAAGAAGGTCGTTGTGAGGTTGGTGGTTATGTTGCTGCTGTGTTTTGTCGTGTGTCCTGGCAGATTAGTTATAAGATGTTATATGCCATACGATTTCCCATTCTGTCCGTTGCGCTTTGCAAGCGCGAGGGATGTTCCAGCATTCGCAAAAGCTTTCTCGTATGCGCTGTGGTGTGCGAGTGTTTGGTTGTGTTGTTTTTCAATTCTTTGTGCTGCAGCGATTAAAGCACAACAGGAGTAATGACAATGAACCGAAAGAAACAAAAGCCGCAATTTCTATGTCCTTTGCGTTTCCGTGGCAAATACATGCAGATAGGTACAGGTAGTATTCTTTGCACTTGAGCGTACGTGGTGGCACGTAAACAGCACACCTAGCCGAGATGCGAACATGACACTAAGTAGTAGCTTCCATTATTTTCCATTGTCCCAGTATATCCCCAAGATATACAACCCTAAACCCTAAACCCTCGACCCTATCCCTAATATAGACCCTAATATACCCCATACCCCGCCCCCATAGAACCATGGCGTGAACCTGTCTGGGGCCAGGAAACTCACCGGGCAGGATTACCCTCATGGGTTTGCCAGCAACCTTACACGTCAAACCCCATAAACAGGGTTGCTGTTAAGGAACTTAAATTGAATTACTATGATAAGGAGACCTTATTTTTCACTATGTACCCATATTATGGTAACTTGATTTAAGTGGGTCTGCCCAGTCTCTCAGGCATCCTCTTGCTTGGAATATTTTTGTGCAGACATCTTTGCACTCGTGTCTGTTCACGGGTCATATTCGTAGTATCAGCATTCGTGGGACTTGTAAGCCTCCTTGTCTCCCTTATATCCTACCTACTACCATCCATAGAACATGCTGCTTGGTGACTGCTGTGTCATTGGTACACTCTCGAACTCATGTTTTCCATTATCCCTATGTAACCCCTATAACCCCAATATAATAACCTATTATAGTAGTTTCCAGTTTATTTTCCATTATCCCTATATAACCCCAATATAACCTATTATCGTAGTTTCCATTTTATTTTCCATCATCCCTATATAACCCCAATATAACCCTAATCTCAGAGCCTGAAGCCCCCCACACCCTAGAGCGGCTTTAGTGCCTATACACACATGGGGGTTTCCTAAAATTAGGGGTACCATTATGGAGGGCCCAATAATAAAGATTATGGTATATTGGGCTCTATATTGGGGTCCCTTATTTAGGGAAACTACCACATAATACATACTGATGCCCCTCTTCACATGCATACATACGTTCATGCAGGCTAAGACAGATATCTATCTATCTGTCTATCTACCTATCCATCTCTCTGTATGAAGTTATCTACACTCATATTTGTACATGTCGTGTGTATGTATATGGGTGAAGGCTGTGTATATGCTTATATCTGCGCTGTATACCTGCCTCTATATATGTTTCCAGATATACAGACAGAGTTGAAAACACTCGCCTGCATTCCGACGCTCAACATATTTCAGCATGTTCCACCGTATCTCGCCATATTTCATGGTTTAGCATCACTGTCCACGATTTTCATGATTTGCCAGTAATTTTTATCATGTGTCATCAGTTTCCGTCATCTTCATGACTTCTCTATCATTATTCATCATATTCCCATGAGGGCCCAAAAGCAACCCCGACCCCCGCGACCGTTCTGATGGTCGACAACTTTTGGCATGCCAAGCATGACTGAGGGTGCACAAGCGACAACAGCTACGAGGATCACGACCCTGCCCACCGCAATTCCCGTGACTGTCGACCGCTTTGAGACGCCAAGAGACTTCGAAGGTCCCAAAGCGACGACTGGTGCGAGGATCGCCACCCCTAAACCCCAAACACCTAAACCCTAAACCCCTAAACCCTAAACCCAATCCTTGCGATCCCTCTGGCTGTCAACACTGAAAACTCCAAGAAGATCCGATACGCCCGTAGCGGCAACAGCTGCGAGGATCGCGATCCCTGCACCCCCCATCCCTGCGACTGTCAACGCTTGGCTATTGCTCCATTTGTTTTGATTATGCTTTGAGTTGTTGAGCTCCAAATTTATTGAATTCGGCCAGATGCTCTATAGTCGCGTGGTAGTTTCCCTAAATATGGGGACCCAACCGTAGACCCCAAAATACTTTTGTCCTTATTATAGAGAACCCTAATAAGGTATCCTAATTCTGGGAAACTCCCAGGTACCACTCCAAAGAATATGTGTGGAAGGAACCCCAATCTTGCAAAGCGGCGCAGTATACAGCCATGCAGTGCTTGGGGGTGACCATATTTGTACATTCACATTGTGCATGTGCATACGCATGCACACTTTTACGTACATATGCTAGCTTCCCAAAATGGGGGGACCCTAGTATAGACCCCAAAATACTATAATCCTTTTTATTGAGACCCCTAAAAAGGTGCCCCTAACTATGGGAAGCGCACCATATGAGCTACCAAGGTAACATGCTGCTGCCACGGCCTGGTTTTCCACTGTACTCAGTTCTTTGCCCCTGCCTCAGTGGTTACCTGGTTTGTTATGGGTTTTAGTGATCGGGGGTTGCTCTACAGGGCTTACATAGCTAGCTCCCAAAGCCAGGGTCCTATTTTGGTACCCCTAAATATTGGGTGCCGTGTTATAATCAATAGCCAAAAAGGGCCCATAATTTTGATAACAACCCATATGGGGTGAGGTGTTCGGGCTTCTGGCTTCCAAGACTTTTTCTTCCGGATTTGGGGACCAGGCTCAAGGATGTTTGGGCACGGTCGTCATTTACAAACACCGCCAGTCGGGCTTTTGGTAATGCAGCCTGGAGAATCTCTAAGGAAAAGAAAGTAGGACACGAAACGGCAACTTGTGTTTCTAGGGGTTAGCGGGTTAGGGCTACTCGTAAGTGTACCTTTGCGAAGAGCACTGTCAGCATGGCCACCCTACGCATCACCACCATTGTCATGTTTGTTGGTGCCATCTCGTTTTGAGCAGAAAACCACAACCAGCCAAGATCCTAAACCCTACACCCTACATCTTGAATCCTGCATCCAGACTCTCAAACCTGAAGCCCTTCACCCACAGACTCTTTCAAGGGAGAGAGCGCACCTGAAAGTGCTGAGGTGAGTACCACGGCGTTGAGGTGCTGTGCTCTGAGCTTGTCTGAGACCTGGGATAGGTCAAGGGGTTATGTATGGAGTATATTGAGGGCATATAAGCTATGTTGAGTTGCATTGGGCTATATAGGGCTATGGGGTCTAGAGTTTAGAGGGTCGTCACCCCACCAATGGAGAATTAGCTGGGAAAAATCTGACAGGAAAAGGAAGCCGGAATGTACAAGGACAGTTGTCAGAAGTATCATCCTCATCTAGGATCCCAGTATATGCTCATTGCGCTGAAAACCCTGAACCCCAAACCCCGAACCCTGAATCCTAAACCCCGAACCCTGAACCCAAAACCTAAACCCTGAACTTAAACCTAAACCTTGAACCCTAAACCCTGAACCCGGAACCCTTAACCCTGAACCCTGATAGGGGCATGTTTTCAATGTTGAGAGGCTCCTGGGGTTTTACAGGTTGGCTGCCCTTTTTTTGCTGGGGTGCTGGCAAGGTGTTGGGTTTGTTATGGGCCGACGTAGTCCCCAACATGAAGATCCTAGATTTCTTGTACAATTATGGTATATGGGTACCTCACATAGATCTCAACATGTAATTTGCTATGCTTGAGGCGCCCACACTTGTTTTCTTGCCGCTTGCTCTGCGGCCTCTCACGACGAAAATCGATTCTGATTTGTGGGCTTGTATCTCCTCATACCCCTGGTTAGGAGGGGAGTGGCAAAGCAAATGGAACTACTACCGTACATGACCGGAAGGTTATATAGGGCCTTAAACCGCTAAACCCTAAACCATAACAATCCATTCCTTTTGTTTCTTCGCCTGCCAAAGATAAGTTTCAAGGTTGGGCTCGCAGCCTTCAGTTAACGGTATTTAGAGTTTAGGGTTTAGGGTTTTTGGTAGATTGCTTGAAAAGTAGATGTATGGTTTAGGTGGGCCTCCCAGCCTGCAATAGTTGCATAATTATGCCTCATAGTCCCCACTACTGGCTGGGGGGAGGCAACCCAATTGTACTTGTAGCATTTTGTGCCCTAAATCCGGGTCCCTCTTGTTTTACAGCACACTGAAGGTTACAGTGTTGCTTGTTAAACAGGAGGCACATTTGGGATCCGTGAGGGGTTTGAGGCACGCCAAATCATGTCTCCAGGACCTGGGTTTAGGGTTTAGGGTTTAGGGTGCTCCATCTGCTTACAACAGCAAGGAAGTAGACTCTGGGGGTAGGCTAGAGGAACCCTATGATTAATCGGTGTTGCTGTTAAGGAATCTAGATTAGCTCACTATATAACTCACTAGAACAAGGAAGCCCTACTATTAACTACATAGCCATGATAAATTACTTTAGTTGAAGTTCCTAAGCCCTAAACCCTTAAACCCTAAACCCCTAACCCCTAAACCCCTAAACCCCTAAACCCCTGAACCCCTGAACCCCTAAACCCTAAACCCTTCACTCCCTTAGTTACTTAACAGCAACCCAATAATAGCTTAGGTGGACCCCCCACCCAGAAATAGTGACTATAAGGGATAATGGTATTAATATTCCCTCAAGCATAAACCCTTTCATAGTGACTATAATATAGTGCTAATGGTATGAGGGTCCTCTTATAGTCCTGGTATACCTCTATTACAGGGTGGGGGGTCCTCCTAAGTACTAGTTCGTGCTTTGCAGGTAGGCCCCGGGCCCGGGCTGTCCAAGGCAATTGAGTAGCATATTATTTGGGGATACTATGGTACCCATTATACAGTAGGATTATATCCTCCTTTTGGGGTATAGTATTCTATTTACGGAATATAATCTTACTAGGTTCAACCACCAAAAAAACACTACTCAATCGTGCAATACTATGATTACGATTTAGGGCTTGGGGCTTAGGATCCTAGACACAGGTGCGATACTATGACCTTCTCCCTGATTGCGGATGGCATCCGGGCTCGATAGACGGTGGTTTTGGACCTGCGTTAGTCAGAGACTTTCAGTTTGTACCCTTAATGTTTGTAACCCTAGGTTTTGGGCCCAAATACCCTTATTAAGGACCATATTCCATGGCTTAGGGGCCCAAAGCCGAAGGGTACAAACCCTAAGGGTGCAAAGGACAACTCCCTGAGTTAGGGTTCAGGAAGTAGGCAAGAGGTTGAAGGTTTCAGATTCAAGGCTCGATGTTCAGGATGGGTTGTGGGGCACTGGACATGGAATGTGGGGGGGTCTGGAAGCTTGACCCAATATTGGAGCACTACACTTTAATACTTTTTTTCGGTTCCTGGGTTCTAACGGAAGGAAGGACTTATACCTAAGAAGTCTATATGGTAGTTTCCCAAAANNAATATAGACCCCAAAATACTAGGATCCTTATTATGGGGACCCCCAATAAGGTACCCCCTACTTTTGGGAAATTCCCATATTTTTCTGGGGTGTACTCCAAACTAGGGTTGAGAATGATGTGTACAGTAGCTTGTTCTTCTAGTCTTCATGTGCTTTTGAGCTTCGCCAGCACCTGCTGAGGACCCCGGAAAGATGGCAGCAGTATCAAGGGACCCAGGTTTGGGGTTTCGGGTTTTGGGTTCAGGGTTTAGGTTTTAAGGTTTAGGGTTTCGGGTTTTGGGTTCAGGGGTTTGAGTGTCATGAGTAAGAAGGCTTCATGGCCAATTGGGCTTCTTGTGGACTCTTCTTCTAGGACGATAGTCATTCAGGCCTTACGCTTGAGGCTTTAGGGTTTAGGAACAAAAGCAAGTGGTGCAGTCTCTCTCCCAAAAAAGGCTTAGGATTTATTGTTCACGGGCTCGGCTACTGAAGGTTGGCATGTGTATTGGTGGCTCATACATCGGCCTTGACCTTCTTTTTTTTGAAAAACGGTGCGGGATTCAACATGAGTGCACCTGGGCAGCACTCAGCTTTGTGGACCTTATTGCCCCTTTGATGCTTGGAGGCTCATAGCTTAAAATTCCGAGGCAGTGCGACATTGGGGGCATTGCCAAGCTCGTGGCGACTTGTCATTTCGCTTCGGCATTGGGGGGTGTAGAGAGACGAGCAAATGTGGTTCTCTGAAAAGGCATTCAGCAGCTCATCTGGGTCTTCAGGTTTGAGGGCTTCTCGGAAAGTAGGGGGGTTCTTGGTGATTCTAGCAGTATATAGATAACACATGAAAATTGCAAGCGTGCTTTCAAAGGATGAGGCAAGGGGTAACATTGAAAAGTTCCCCGGAAGGCCTTAAACTTCTAGATGCGTGCGAAGAAAGTCTGGATCGCAAGTCACGGTGTGGGCTTTCTAGGTTCGCGTGCCTGCACTCCCAGAATCAAGTTGGGGAACGGAATTTTGAGACTGCTGCTGCAGGGGCCATATTCTGAGTGCATATTACGTATGGAAACCATCTTTGCGTGCTCCATTTCTTTAGACGTCCAGCTGCGTGCATAATGGGCTGGTTCCTTAATCCTCCAACTTAAAGTGCCAGCCGCACCAGGAAGCCAACTATTTGGGTACTGCCCCCCCCGCCCTTCCCCCCCACTCCGTAACAGTTCGCTGCCCCCCAGCCACTCCGTAACAGTTCGATAATAGTTGTTCTATAGTCATATATATATATATAGAGCCCTAGCTATGACCCCAAATATGTACTTATTCAGCCCTAAATCCCAAACCTTAGACCCCTAATAAAGACTGTGACAAGTTGGGGGCAGTACCCGACCTACTATTCAGGAATCTGAGCGAGGTTGTGTCTTGAGCGTTCTGTTTTAGGCTTTAGAAGTCCGCGTTTGAGGATGTGGATTTGGGCTTGATAGAAGTGCTTGGGGCTTTTGGGTATTCTGATTTAGAAGCTTTGAGGGTTTTACGTGTTTGCGACGAATGGAATTCGGAGTTGGGATCTCTGAGGAGTTATGTGAGGATTTTAGAGATGGTTCGCGCAGACCCCTTGTAGCAAAGACTCAACGCTTAAACCCTAAACCCTAAGTAGTAGTCTCCATTTTCTTTTCCATTATCCCTATGCAACCCCAATATATACGCTCTAGGAACCCTATGTCACTCCTTGTGCAAGAAGGCCTGCTCAAGGAGACACACCGCTAAGAAGGCTTGCTCGTATCAGTTTTAAGGGGCATAGACGGGGGCACCTCTGTAATTGTAACTTCCACTAGAGTTAATTCCATCAGAGCTTTCACATGCCTCTGGCCCATAATAAAGGGACTGGGGCCTACATATAGGGTTCTGGGTTTGTTGAAAGAGGGTGTTCCCGTCGCTGAGGATGAGAACACTTGCGCCCTTCTTCTGAACAATCCTTCCAACCCTTGTGGAGCTGTTTTCACCCGCGAGCATTTGGTGGCAGAAGCTTGGCACGAAGTTTAGAGCTCAGGCAAGCGCAGTAAGCATGGCATCCCATATGGAAATTTATTGAAGTTAGAGCCAGTTGTGGGAGCTCGCTTCAATGAGGATTGTAATGCTTTGGATTCTATACGGGGACTCAGGATGTTCGTTGGTTCGAAGGATCAGGGCTTGACGCTAGGTAGTGAAAAACCTAAAGCTATAGCGAGGTAATATCACAGAGTCCCTGAATAACGCAGATAGCACTACAGTTCCGAAATCCACCTGCCTACTGCTTGTTTACGAGGTATCGCTCTGAATCCAGGTTATGCTTGGGTAGGGCAAGTCCAATTTTCTAACAGGGTGATATCACATAGCCTTTACTGATAACCATTGTCATTGTTATTATAGATGACACTAGCCTACCTGGTGTTAAGTTGGGGGATGGGGCTTGCATTCTGGGCGAACTTACTACTCGCGACGGATGAAGGATGGATTACATTATAATGTGAATTATCTACAGGTCTTGTAGGGATAAATTTGTGTCGGGAATTGTTCGAGTCAGGCTGGTGTACAAGAGGGTTTGGTAACACGAACCCACAAACCAGGACCTTCGAATCACCATACGAGCTACTGTCAATACTAGGCTTGTTACGGGGCCCTTAATCGTGGAGATAGGGGTAGTTCAGCTCATAATAAATACTGTCCCTGATAAGGAACCCCATGTCCAAGAATTGTCTGGGTAAATTTGACTGTGGCTCATATGCTCGTTCTAGGGTCCTGATATCAGCAGAGTAGAAGCTACTGTTTTCATATTGCCCCAATACGGAACACACCCGGAACTAACCCCAAAACCTTCAAACCCTGACCTAGGGTGGCATATAGGGATCAAAAGGAAGATCTACGGAAAAAAATCCATGTAACTCCTGTATAACACCACAAAATGCCACCCAAAACCCTAAACCCCTAATATAAGGATGGTCTAAGGAGTATATAGCGGTTGTCATTTCATGTCTATATAGCTTCAAGCGCTGCTGAAAGCCCTCAGGTGCTGTCCACTGCAGAGGAGCTTGGGCTCCCTGTGATTGCGGATGAGGCGGAGGGGACATTGGCGGCTTTTCACCAGATTTAGGGTTGAGGTTTCAGGGTTTGGGGTTATAGGGTTTGAGTTTAGGGTTTAGGGTTCAGGGTTTATCGTTCAGGGTTTAGAGTTCAGGGTTTGGGGTTTCAGGGGTTGGGTTGAGGGTGTGAATGGGGGGTACAGGATTACACAGGGTCTATATATGAGGCGGAGGGGACTTTGGGGGTTGTCTCCAGGGCTGAGGATTATGGAGGGGTCAAGGTTTAGGGCTTCAGGGTTTGGCGTTCAGGGTTTTGATTTTAAAGGTCTAATTTTTAGGGGTTGAGGGTTTAGGGGTTGAGGGTTTTGGCTTTTAGGGTTTAATTTTTCGAGGTTGATGGTCTGAGGGTTGATGGTTTAGGGTTTAGGGCTCAGGGTTTTGACTTTAAGGGTTTTAGGCTGTAGGTTTAAGGTTCAGTTAGGAGGGACGTTGGGGGCCTTCTCCGTTTATCTAGGTACATGTACAGGGGAATATGGGGGCTGTATAGGAGTTTAGGGTTTGGGAAGGTTAGTGTTTATGGGGCTGTATAGGAGTTTAGGGTTTGGGGGGGCTAGGGTTTAGGGGTCTTAAGGTTGAAGGTTTTGGTTTTCAGGGTTACTGGTCAGCTGTTTAGGAATGCAGACCCAGTCTAGCAGGTCAATACATGGCCCCCCGGCCCCCAAGAAAGGGCTGGTCAAGCATTACGAGAAACCATGCATGGCTATGTCCAGCCTCAAACCTTCAGCCGGAAAAGAGGGTGTTAAAAACATACCCTAAACCCTAAACTCTATATAACCCCGTTATAGTAGTTTCCATTTTCTTCTCCATTATCCTATATAACCCCAATATACACCCAATTATACCACCCTAAGCCCTGGGGGATATCCCGTAGTCTCCTTCGTGCGACTATAGGTAACACGAAGCCCTTGCCACGCACTTGCACATTTTTATACTACCCCTATATCACCCCCATATTAGCACCATATAATACCCCAATATAACCCCAATATAATATCCCAATATAACCCCTATGTTCTATGATTGAATGTTGCAAATGTCATGGCTGCCTAGATCCCGCAGGAAAGTCCTGAATCTTCCTCAGCTTTCTGCCAAGAGCGGCTTAGACCGCAGATTCCTCCTACATCTGAACATACTACCAGGGAGTTTTCCTTTGGACCCTTAGGGTTTGTACCCTTGGGTTTTGGGTCCCTAAACCATGGAATATGGCCCTCAATAAGGGTATTTGGGACCATAAACTTAGGGGTACAAACATTAAGGGTACAAACTTAAAGTCTCTGATACTACCACAGTCATTCACGGTTTTGTTTCTGGCGCAAAAAAAGCGCAGCCATAGCCTTTCCTAAACCTAAAGGTAGCGGTTTTTGACAATCCTCCCAACATGATCCTCAACAGGGCCCCCTGCTAATCCCCTCGTGCTCCCCACATATTCCCAGGGGTCAAACGGATAGCCCGATGTTCAGAGACCTTCACATCCTCATTCTGCCAGGTCTATGCAGACATGAGCTTTTCCAGGCCAGGCCAAACACGTTGGGTTTAGGGCTCAGCTCTGTGGTTCATGATGCTGAAAATGGTTTGGGGTTTCTGGATCAATGTTAAGGATCCTTTATACTTTTTGGGGTATGGGATTCCTTATATTTATGAAAAAAGGATCCTTTTTTCTTCCTGGGGTAATGTGGGCTAAGGTTTAGGGGTTAGGGTTTAGAGGTTGGCGTCGCACGCTGAGCGTACGACTCAGCCAGGCGAAGAATAGGGATTGGTTCGGGCGCGTTTCAGACTTGTACACCTTGTTTAAGCTCATGGTGTTTCAGTGAAACTTTTCAAGTTTCACGTCGCCATAGCGATAATTTTGCACCTTCATTCAGGGAGTATACTGTACTACGGAAATGGTTCTGCAGCTTCTACATTCGGTAAAGCTAAGCCGCCCTGCAAGGTTGCCAACATCAATATGCGCTTCTGCCATTACACTCCAGATAAGTTCTGGTATACAATATCCAGCGAAACCACACAAGTTGTGTCTTCCTGCTGGTGATGTAAGCTTGTAGCCAAAGCTCATAGCACGAGACCTTCTAAAAACATTCATACACCACCTGCACCCTACAGGACTGGATAGCTGAAGCCACGCTATCGTACTAGAATCACACTGCTAGCAAACCTCCGGCTATCCGCAACTCCGCAGGGCCAGCGTAGAAGCTTGAATGCCCTGGCAACTTGCTTGCGCCCGTAGGTGATATCGCTATTATACTAGGGGTGTTTATGGGAATTTTATAGGTACATCTCTCGCAATCCGCTCCCCCACTCCCTCTTGAGACCAGGAAGGTGATTTTACGACAATTCCTTTGTTGCCTAGTTTAGGGTTGAGGGTTCAGGGATAAGCTAACCTCCAAGGCGTTTGATTCTTTGAAGGCCATGTGACATCTGCATGCCGCGCTTTCTCTTCAAAGCCCGTTTTTCCTGATGAGTGACCTCTGGAATCCTTAAACCCTCAGTGCCAACCCTAAACCTTACACCTCAAACCCCAAATCCCAGCCCCCAAGCCCTAAACCCTTGCCGCGGAACCCTGGACCTTCGCTTGAAGCAGCCTTGAGATCTTAGGATTGGTAGGCTTTGGCGACTTGCTCGAGTACTTGGCAACCTTAAATTTTTTAGGGTCCCCAGTTCTGGATCAATGTTAGGGATCCTCTATACTTCTTGGGATATGGGATTCCCTATATTTATGTAAAAAGGATCCTTTTGTCTTCTTAGGGGAATGTGGGCTAAGAGTTCAGGACCCAGTTGGAGTATGGGGTTACCCAAAGCCCCTTCTATTCCACCTCGAAATAATGTATTGCGGAAACCCCAGCTTGCATTGACAAAATCTCCGCACGATTGGAATACATCGTACTTTTTTGTGCCAGGGTTGGGTTCCCTGTCTTTTGCCGGGATTTCCCTACTAACCCTCCCCAAACTAACATGGAACCTAAAGACTAAAGACCTTTGAATACCGCTGTACCGTATATCAAAAGGGCGTTATGAGCTTCCATGTTAGTTGAGGGAGGGCATGCCTCCAAATACAAAGGTCTTCCAAGAATTTCCAGGTGAGGAAAAGGCATACTCAGATCCCGAACTCATTAGGAAAACTCGGACAATGCTTGCAAGACCCCCCAGTGAATGTGCGGTTTTCCTCCAAACAGTCTTCCAAAATCGTCACCCTTACATGCCCCGATTTGATTAAAACAAAAACTCAACCATAAGGACTTCCCACAAAGGCGGATCTTACACCGTAAAACCTCAATTCAGGCCTTAAAGCCCCCAAACATCCCAGACCCAACCCACGCTAAACCCCAGTCCCTAAGACACAGACCCTAATCCCAGAACCCTAAACCCCTGAACCCCTGAAAGCCCCTCTGGTTCAGGCCTTTTGTTGCCTGCGCCGCTGCTACAGCCACTGGGTTGCTGTTAAGGTACTTCATTTAAGTAACTATATTGGGGAGATATATAGGGCTTAGGGTTAAGGTTTCATGGTAACCTTAAATCCTAAGCCCTAGATAGAATATGTACATATACACATTATGGTAGCACAATTTAAGTTCTTTAACCCTAAGCCCTATGCCCTAAACCCCAAGTAGTAATTGCCATTACATTTTCCATGATCCCTTCATAACCCCTATATTATGGTAGCTTAATTTAAGCACCCTGAACTCTATATACTCTAAACCCTAAACCCTGTATACCCTGAACCCGAAACCCTAGGTACCCTAAACCCTACACATGCTCACCCTATATATCCATGACGGTAACTGAATTCAAGTTCCGTAACCCTAAATCCTAAACCCCTAAGTAGTAGTTTCCAATTCACTTTCCATTATCCCTATATATCGCCTCTATTATTATAACCCGCATAAAGCCCCTATATAACCCTAGACATGGTTACCCTATATACCCATAAATAATGGGAACTTAATTTAAGTTCCGTAGCAACAACCCAGGCCAGCATCCCCATCCTCTCGGCCCCTTGGCTACTGTTGAATTAGCTGGAGGTTCAGTAGGGTTTATATCGGAGTTGTTTCTTAGGGTTGATTTAGAACTTGTATCTGGTTTATTTGGGTTTATATGGCATTTATTTGGGTTTCTTGAATGTTTTTTGGGGGTTCGTGTTGGATTTTTATTAGGGTGTATATAGGGTTTGGGGTTTATATAGGGTGCTGAACTAGCTTGGGGTTCAGGGTTGTAGGATTTAAGAGTTTAGCGTCTTGAGGGTTGAGGCTTTAAGGCTCAGGGTTGGCAAAGGGTTTTGGGTCTATAAAGGGACTTTGATGGGAACTCCAAACCCTAATGGAACCCCAAGAATATAGGGTTTCGGGTATAAGATTTAGGGTTTAGGGTGTAGGCAATATAGTAGGAATATAATAGAACATGAGGACCCTGGTAGGTATATTCCTATAATGTTCCTACCATATTCTTGGGGTTCCCGGTTTGGGGTTCCCATTGCTTACAGTAAGCTTTTTTGTTTAGGGCTTAGGTTTTGGGGTCTAGGGCTTAGGGTTTATTAGGGTTTTCGGGTTGGGGGTTTAGGGATGAAGGTTTAGGGTTTTGGGTTGGGTAGCATGACTGAATTCTGGATTCAGTTTGCGAACCATCAAAGCTTGGGTATCTAGACACTTGGATCCTGGGTTGAACATCCTAAGGCCTCGATTTATTTAGAAACCTTTAGGGCCCAACGTAGGAATTCCAGACTTAGAAATTCAGGGATCCCTACCCTTTAAACCCGCCTACACCTACGCCCCCAACTCCCCAAACCCTAAACCCCTAAACCCTAAACCCTGAACCCAGCCAACCCTAAACCCCCCTCCCTTCAAATCCCTTCCGCGCTGCACCAAGGTTTGTGCGCTCTCGAAGCGATGGCTCGCTCCAGGCCAACATTGCTGAAGAGAGCGGTTCTGCGTTTCAGGGAGATATGAGGGTTTCCCAAAATTGGGGGTACCATTTTGGGGGTCCCCTTATTAGGGATTATAGTATTTTGGGGTCTACATTGGGGTCCCCTTATTTTGGGAAGCTACCATATAGGGATTGATGTACGGCTTATATACGGGTTCGGGGTTAGAGTTCAATTGGTACATCGGGATTATGGATGGGTTCAAGGAGAGATCGGGGCACATCAGTGCTTCAGAGGGTTAGTTATGGTTTCGGGATAAAAGGAGACTTGGGCACTACAGGTGGATGGCCGGGAACGAAGGAACAGAGCCCTCTAGTGGTCCTGAGATGCTTGCCTCGCGCTGTAACCTATACCTTCAATGACTACCACTGTCCAGCAAGATACCCTAAACCCCATATACCCTCATACAACCACCCCAAAACTTCTAAGGAACCCTGTTCTAAGCCCTAAACCCTACACCCTAAACCCTAATTCTAAGCCCTTCTAACCCTGTGTCCACCAAAAGCAAGTTGCGAGGTTGGAGAGTAGGGTTTAGGGTTTTAGGG